TTTTTTTACTATTTTGTATTCTCTTTAAAAAATAAAAAATAGGGCTGGCCAAATAGCTCAGCGGATTAAAGTGCCTTCTTAGGCAGACTCAGCAGATAGGGTTCAATCCCTGGCATGCCATGCCGGTGGTAGCGTGTACCTGTAATCCCAGCTCTTGGGAGGCTGAACACAGGTGGATCGCTACAAGTCCAATCTACATAGTGAGACCCTGTAGACCCTGTGCAAAATACAAAAAAAAAAAAAGGAACGATCACAAATTTGCATGTCTTTTTTGCCCAGGGGCAATGCTAATCTTCTCTGTATCATTCAAGTTTTTTTAGTATGTGCTGACAAAACGAGTGCTAAATTTGGTTTTAATTCTAGGCGTTCTGATGTAAAGGATTATGTCATTTGTAAATAATGGTAATTTGATGTCTTCCTTTTTTGTAGATACCTTTTTCTTTCCCTTGCCTGACTGCTTTGGCTAATATTTCAAAGCAGTAGGAATGGTGGTAGTGAGTCCTTATTTTATTCCTGATTTTAGAGGAATGATACCTATTAAGATTTTTATTCTGAGTGTATGTTGGACTTTTTTTTTTTTTTTGGTACTGGGAATCAAACTCAGGACCTTTTGTGGGGTTTTTTTGTTTGTTTGTTTGGTTGGTTTTTTTGGGTGGAACCGGGGATTGAACTGAGGCCCTTGCGCTTGCCAAGGAAGCACTTATTCCACTGAGCCGTCTCCTCAGCCAAACTCAGGACCTTGAGCTTGCCAGGCAAGTGCTGTGCCGCGGAGCTATATCACTGACCTTGTGTGCTGGATTTTGTTAAAGCCTTTTTCTGCATCTGTTGAGATGATCGTGTGACTTTTGTCTTTGCTTTTGAGCCATCCTTGCATCCCTGGGGTGAAACGTGCCTATTTGGTCATGGTGTGTAATCTTTTTGATGACCTGTTGCATTCTGCTTGTCGGTATCTTTTTTTTTTTCTTTTCTTTTTAATCTTTATTTACCTGGTACAGGGTCTCACTACACAGCTCAGACTCACAGTGATCCTCCTGTCTCAGCCTCCGCAGCACTAGGATCACAGGCGTGCGCCACTACACCCAGTTTCAGTGACTGGCATGGCACGGGACCGGAATCGAACCTGGGTCCTTGCACTTGCCAGGCAAGAGCTAGCTCCCCAGCCCTGTTTGCCAGTATTTTTTTGAAGGTTTTTGCATCTATATCCATTCGATTGGGCTTTAGTATTCTTTTTTTTAACTGCATCCTCATCTAATTTTGGAATCAGGATAATGCTGGCTTCCAGGGATAAGTGTTGAAGTCCTCCTTCCCTTGGAATTTCATAAAAGAGCTTGAGGAATGCCAGTGTCACATCCTCCCCGAGGTTCTTATAGAATTCAGCTGTGACTGCATCAGCTCCTGAGCTTTTGGTAGCTTGTTTATTCCTGGCTCGTTTTCATCACCTGTTACCGGATTGTTCAGGGTTTTATGTCTTCTAGGTTGCTTTGGTAATTCACGTGTGTCTAGGAATATGTCATTTTTTTTCTCAATTCTCTGATTTGGTGGAGTACCATTTTTTCATAATAATTAATGGCCTGGATTTTCATATTATTCATTGTTATTTTGCTTTTTAAAATTTTTAATTATATGTCTATGGGTCTTTTATTAAGTTTGTGTAAAGATTTGTGTATTTTGTTTATTCTTTTAAAAGAACTGGCTTTCCGGTTCGTTACTTCTATTAATTTCTAGGTCTCAATTTTGTTAATTTCTTTTTTTCCTTTTTTGGTGGAACTGGGGATTGAACTCAGGCCCTTGTGCTTGCCAGGGAAGCACTTACTCAACTGAGCCATCTCCCTGGCCCCAATTTTGTTAATTTCTGCTCTGTGGTTTATAATTTTTCCTTGTACTAGGTTTGGATTATTCTTGTTCTCCTAGAACCTTGAGGTGCAGTGTTAGATTATTTACTTGTGCTTGCTCTGTTTTTCTAGTGTGAACATTCACAGCAGTAAACTTGCCTCTTAGGGCTGCTCGCATTGTGTCCCAGAAATTCTGTTATGTTGTACTGGCATTATTGTTTATTTCTAGGAATTGTTTTTATTTCTTCCTTGATTTTTTTCTGTGACCCATTGGGTACTTAGAAGTGTGTTCTTTTCCTTTTCTTTTTTTTTACATTTAAAAAAAAAATCTTTTATTTATTTGGTACAGGATCTCACTACACAGCTTGGGCTCATAGTGATTCTCCTGTCTCAGCCTCCCCAGTGCTGGGATTATAGGCATGCACCACCAGGCCTGGTTTCGGGACCTGCACAGCGTGCCCGAGGTTCTGGGCCCCGCATGGCATGTCGTACCAGGGAACGGACCCAGGTACTTAGGCTCTTAGACTGCAGAGCTGTCTCCCTGGCCCCAGAAGTGAATTCTTTAATGTCCAAATGTTTGTGGTTACTTTTGTGATTGGTTTCTAGTTTCAGTGGGATACAATCTGATAGTATATACAAGGGCTGGTTTAGATTCTATTGTATGTATATAAACAGATACAGAGTACTACCCCATAAGGGCTAGTATATGGTGTATTTTGGAGAGAATTCCATGCGCTGCCAGAAGGTATGTGTATTCTGTTGTATTAGGGTAGAACACTCTAGAGATGTCTCAGTTTATTTGAAAGTGTGGTTCAGCCCTGACATCATTTATTTTTTTTGTTTGCTTAATTGATTTATTTGTGCAAGTCGCCACTATCATTGTGTTGGCATTTGTTTGATCTTCTATGCTCAACAGTGTTGAATGCACAGCATTCAGTGCATATATACTTCGAAGTGTTACCTCTTCCAGTTGAATTGTTCCCTTGCTAATACATAGTGACCTTCTTTGCCTCTTTTGATCATGTTTAGCTTGAAACCCACTTTGAGAACAAGATTGCTGTGCCTGCTTACTCCCAGGGTCCTGGTGCATGAGTACTGTTTTCCCTGCTTTGACTTTTAGTCTATGATTGTTTTTTATTAGATATGTCTCTTGTATGTAGTAAATTGTTGAGTTTTGTTTTTTGATCCAGTCTGCCAGTATCTGCCTTTTAATTAGGGAGTTGAGGCCATTTACATTGAGAGTTATTACTCAAGGGTACTTTTGTTCCTGTCGTTGCAGTAGTTTTCTGTAACTGACTTCTGTATTTTCCCCTTGTTTAATTGCTCCTCCTGCTTGATGTATACTCCCATTAGTCTTTGTGGCTGTATGGGTTTTTGTTTCTTCTGTATAGGATATCTGTGAGTAGTTTTTGGAGTGCTGGTTGGTGATCAGCTATTTCCTAAGGTCAAGGCCCTGAGTTCAATCCCTGGTGCTGGAAAAAAAAAAGAAATTTCCTAAGGTGTTTTTGGTCATATAATGTACTTGTCAGTTGATTTTGAAAGATAGTCTTGGGCTGGTGAGATGGCTCAGTGGTCTAAAGCACCTACTTAGAACAAGCTCAGCAAAACACAGGGACCGCAGTTCAATCCCCCAGCACCACATGCCAGCCCGCCCCGCCCCCTGGTGGGCTGAGCTGGGCACACACACACACACACACACACACAAAGAAAGAAAGAAAAGAAAAGAAAGATAGTCTTGCAGGATACATTAGTGTGGAAAGCTTTTCTCTTGTGGCGCTGACACATGGAAGGTCTCATTGGATTTAAAGTTTGTGTTGCAAAGTATGCTGTATTCCTTATGGGTTTACCTTTATTTAGTTGTTCTTGTTGTTGTTATTTTATGGAACCGGGGATTGAATTCAGGCCCTTGCGCTTCCCAGGGAAGCAAGCGCTTATTCCACTGAGCCATCTCCACGGCCCTGTTGGTTTGGTTTTTTTATGAATTTAGGACAGGGTCTGCAGGGTGTACAGGGTCTCACTACATAGATCGGACTCATAGTGATCCTCCTGGTTTCAGCCTCCCCAGCGCTGGGATTACAGGCGCGAGCCACTTCACCCAGTCTCAATGGCCTTCTCAGTGTGCCTCTGGTGCAGGGCCAGCATGGCAGGCCAGGGATCGAACCCCTGGCCCCTGCATCTGCCTAAGCAGGCTGTTTAATCTGCTGAGCTATCTGGCTGGCCCTCATTTTTTCTTTTAACTTCTTTTAGCTTTAGGTTCGTTTTCTTGGCTGGGGAGATGGCTCAGTGGAATAAGCGCTTCCCTGGCAAGCACAAGGGCCTGAGTTCAATCCCCAGTTCTGGAAAAAAAAAAAAAAAAAAATAGGTTTGTTTTCTTAAGCATTCTCTAGTAGCTGTAGGATCAGTTTTCCTTGCTGTCTGATAATTCTAACCTTTCTGTATTTTACTTTATTGTAACATGTTATGGTTTGTGTCTAGTTGTCCCCCAAAGCCTCAGGTAGTCATGGGGTGGCTTCTGGAGTTTGTGGTTGAATCTTGGTCCAATACTAGAATTATGGGTGCAAGTGCTGCTGGGATCCTGGGTGTGAGTGCTACACCCAGCCTTGGGCAGATGGCCTGAATGCCGCATGAGGGAGACAGACTTGCTCTCTGTAGCCGCTGTTGCCGCTACCACTGCCTTTGTTCTTCGCTGTTTCCAGCTGCCAGGAACAGCTGCTCTGCGCTGCCACATGCTGCTCTGCCTTGGAGCCAGCCGAGTCTGGACTAAAACCTGCACTAACCGTGAGCCAAATACACCTTCCCTTCCTTCATTTTGGCTGTTGGGTATTTGTCCCAGCGACGAGGGAAGAGTAACTGAGACATACATGTTGCAGTACCTGATTACATTTGCCATAAGCCGTTTGTATACATATGTGTGGCATATCCTAACATATTCCTTTTCTATCTCTCCCTGTCTTGTGCATCTCTTGTTCACCTTCCTTTTTGCTTTTTTTGTGGTGGAACCAGGGATTGAACTCAGGCCCTTGTGCTTGCCGGGCAAGAGCTTATTCTACTGAGCTATCTCCCCGACCCCACTCCTTCCCATTTGAAAAGGATCTCCCTACTTCTGGTTATTTTTTGTTTTGCCCTTTATATTTTGGGTTTCTCATCTGAGAGAGAGAGAGAGAAAAAAAAAAATACAATATTTAAATTTCATGTGCTTGCCTTATTTCACTTAACATTGTGGCCTCAAGCTGCATCCATTTACCTATAAATTCCTCAAGTTTGTTCTTTATGGCAGAGTGTTACTCCGCTGGACGTACTGACTGTCTCCCAGATGTAGCCATTATTGTCCTGCTGTAAACATGGGTATGCATGGGATGCTGTGATGTAATGACTTCAACTCTTTTAAGAAGATACTTGGGAGGGGAATATATGGGTAAATGGAATTTCGGGGAGGGTTGTTTGTTTGTTTGTTTGTTTTTCTGGTACTAGGGATTGAATTCAAGACCTTGCATTTGCCAGGCAGGTGTTTATGTCATTGAGCTATTTCCTGGAATTTCAGTGTTTCTTTTGGGTTATTTTTTTGTTTTTGTTTTTGTTTTTTTATGGGACCGGGGATTGAACTCAGGACCCTGTGCTTGCCAGGTAAGCACTTCTTCTACTGCACTATCTCCCCAGCCCCTCAGTTCTTATTTTTTGATGAATCTCAATAGACATCTCCGTAGTGGTTGTACTAGCTTATACATTGGCACCAACAATATAGCTGTGTTTCGTCCCCTCCCCACTACCAGCATTTGTTATTATTTGATTTCTTGATGAGAGCTGTTCTTTCTGGAGTAAGATGAAATCTGAATGTTGTTTTAATTTGCATTTCTCTAATGGCCAGTGATATTGAACATGTTTCATGTATTCATTGGCCTTTTGTACTATTTCTGAGAAATGTCTGTATTCATTTCAGTTGCCCATTGTTTGAGTTTTTGTTTGGGGAGACCTAAAATTCATTTCATTTTGTTTTGTTTTGTTCTTTATATATTCTCGATGTTAGTCCTTTGTCTGAGGAATAGCTGGCAAAATATGTTTCACATTCAGTAAATTGTTTGCCTACTCTTGGTTTTTTCTTTTGATGTGCAGAAGACTTTTAATTTGATATGATCTCATCTGTTGATTCTTGGTATTACCTCTTCTTTCACTGGGGTTCTTTTAGAAACTTCTCACTTGTGTCTCTATCCTCAAGAATTTTACCTTTTCCTTTTCTTTCTTTCTTTCTTTCTTTCTTTTTTGTGGTACCGGGGATTGAACTCAGGACCCTGTGCTTGCCAGGCAAGCACTTATTCTACTGAGCTATCTCCCTGGCCCCTACCTTTTTCTTTTGAGGCAGGGTCTTGCTCTGAAGGATGGCCTTGAACTTGCGAAGTACCATAGGCTGTCCCAGAACTCACAGCCATCCTGCCTCAGCTGAGCTCTGGGATTACAGATGTGTGCTACCAACCTGCCTGAGTTTACCTCTTTTAAAGAGGCTATGTTTTCCTCCAGTGTTAGGTTTTTAGCTCCTTTGTCAAGATCAAAAAGCTGAGTGTTTCTGGGATTGTTTTTGCTTCTGCTCTGTTCCTCTGATCCATATGTTTGTGTCTATATGTGGGGATGTGTGTGTGTGTGTATGTGTGTGTGTGTTTCTTTTTTAAATCACCATAGCTTCATAACATTTCAAATCCTGCTGTGATCCCTCTTGCTTTGCTCTTTTTACCCAGGATTGCTTTTGCTATTCTGGATATTTCTTGGTTCCATATGCATTTTTGGATTGTTTTTATCTACATCTTTAAGGAATGGTATTGGTATTTGATTTGTATTGTATTTAATGTATATAGCAGTTTGTAGCTATTTTTTTTATTACACTTTTATTTTATTCTGAAAAGTAAAAACAAAAGCAAGAACAAAGATCAGAAAGAAAGACAGAATCAGGGTAACATACAACAATATGGGGGCTGGGGAGATGGCTCAGTAGAATAAGTGTTTCCCTGGCAAGCGAAAGGGCCTGAGTTCAGCCCTCAGTTCTGGAAAAAACAAAACAAAACAAAACAAAACAAAAACAAAACAAAACAAAAAAAAAAAAACCCATATGTTACAGATTTCCAAAGCAAGAATAGCAGATTAACAGTGGTTGATATATTAAAAATATGGAACACTGTATGAATTTGCGTTCCATCCTTGCACATGGGCCACGCTAATCTTCTCTGCATCGTTCCAGTTTTAGTATATGTGCTGCCCAAGCGAGCACAGTGTGGCTATTTTGACAATGTTGTTTTTGTGTATCCTGGAACCTGGGATAACTTTCTATTTTCTGGTGTCCTCTTTGATCTCTTTCACAGTGATATAGTTTTTGTTGTAGAGGTCTTTCACTTCCTACATTAGGTTAGATGCTACTGTGAATAATATTATTTTCCTAATTTCTTTCTCAGTGGGTTCATTATTAGTGTATAGGTACTTGGCTTATCATTTATCATCTTGTTTTTCTGTTCTGTTCTCAAAGTTTAATGCTATGTCTTCTTGTTCATTTCTGCTTTTTATGTATTCAATAAAATTCCTTATTTCTGGGATTCTGTTTGGCACCTTTTCATGAAGTCTGTTTCTTTCATAAACTTGTCATTCATGTTTGACTGATTTTGGTCAGCCCCTCAGATTTTCTTCCGGCTGATTTTTCTTCAACCACATTGATCAGTTTGTTGGTTCCACTGTCAGTTTAATTATGTCATCCTTGAGCTCACCAAGTTTCTTTGCTTCCTCTTTAATCATTCTGTACAGCTCAGCTCTTTGATATCGGATTTCCTTTCCATTCTGGGCTCCAGATCTGCTTTGGGAGAGCTGAAGTCTTTGGAGGCATTTTGTTGTGTGCCCCCCACCCCCACATTCCTGTTTGTGTGTGCGTGCCCGTGTGCTAAGCGTCAAGGCCAAACAGTGTGAAGAGGCTTTGCTGTTGGTATGAAGATCTCTTTAGGTAGGTTCTGTTTTCCAGTGCGGTCACCTACCACTTCATCCTGTTCAGCTGAATCGGGTTGCATTTGGTCACTGTGTTGTTGGAAGAGAATTCTTACTGGTTGCATCAAACACAGACATTAAAACTTTTTTGTTCAATCCCTGGCACCACATGCTGCCCAGCCCTGCCCCTGGGTGTGCTGAGCCCATGACCAAGTCCAGGCGTGGTGGCACATGCCTGTAATCCCAGTGCTGGGGAGCCTGAAAACAGGAGGATCACTATGAGTTCGAGCTGCGTAGTGAGACCCTGCACAAAATACGAGAAAAAATCCAATTGTTTTGACCATTTCCTCCTCTACACTGTTGGTAGTCATTTGGGTTATGGAGGGAGAGGGGGAAGGCGGAGGAAGGGAAAAGAAACGTTGGTAAGTCAGTAAATAGGGATACATGAGAAATGTTAGTAGATGGAAGTCAGTAGGAGGCTGGGCTGGAGATATTTGTAGAGCTGGGATAAAGGAACAACGTGGAGGGCATTTAAGAGAGTATGGAGGGAGAGGGGAGGAGGGAAGCAAGGGAGGGGAAGTGTATTCAGAGATCAAAGGGGCTGTGGGTTTGTCAGAACCTGTTAATATATTTGTAGCTAGTTGTGTTTGGATCTGCTAAGCACAGTTGTGTTAAAGGTTACTCCAACGCAGTCGTGAACAGAACCATTGAAGTTACAATTAAAAAATGGGTCTTTTCTTTTTCTCTCTTTGACACATTCACATATCTCACAGGAAAGGAGGGAAAAGACAAAGGCATAGGGAAAATGAGGAAGGGCAAAGAAAAACGTAGAGAAGGAAAATTAAAAATAGAGATTAGAGAAAATGGAGAGAGAATAAAGCACAAACACTAAAAATAAAATTCTAAAAGGTAATATTGGTAAAGAAGCAAGAACCAACCACACCAGAAGAATTGTGATCGTAGGAAGCAGGGCTCCCATCACCCTGGAAGGGCAGCATAGACAAGCTCGCTGTGTTCACCCTCTCTTCTGGCTCTCAAGTAGTGGTAGGTGGAGACTGAAGGATTCAGCCAGCGAGGCTGGCCAAGCTGGATCTCAGGCTTCTCTGGCTGTTCCCAGAGCCCTGTTACAGAGCTGTGCCTGGCCATCTTCCTGCACACAGAGTGACTTCCTAGAACTACACTCAGTCCACTGAGCATTTCCCAGGAGAGACCCCACCTGCCTCCTGGAGCCCTGCAGGGGAGCATACGTAGCCCAGGCAATCAGAGTCCCCATGTTTTAGCCCTTTAAAGGCTGCAGCCAGTTGGGTTTTGTGGCTCCCTCCTGTAATTCCAGAACGTTGGGAGCCTGAGGCAGGAGAATTGCGCATTTCTTAGCTTAGGCAACATAGCAAGACTCTGTGTCAAAATAGAAATATAAAAGAGAGCAAGAGATTAGCTCAGCATGAAGGCTCCAGATTTGTTCTCCAGTACTGCAAACCACACAGATAAGTGAAACAACCCTATGACTGAAGCTCCAGGCAACCTACTTGGTGGAAGAGAGAAGTGGTTCAGAGCTGCTCCATCCCAGCTCCTCTTTCCTCCTGTCACATGGCTTCCAGTGAAAAAGGAGCCATGCTCAGCCCAGTTTAATGTCACGCACAAGTCGGGGCCCTGGGAGCATTGTTCCTGGGGTCCCTGGGAGCTGACATGTTAGGGGACATGTAGATGGTGCTCAGCAGATTGGACTTTTTTTGTTTTTTTGTCTTTTTGAGACAGAGTCTCACTATGCAGTTCAGGCTAGCCTTGAGCTCACTGTGCTGCCCAGAGTGGTCTCAAACTCGTAACAGTCCTGCCTCAGCCTCCCAGGTGCTGGGGTTATAGGTGAGTGCCGCCGTGCCCAGCTTCATTTGGAAATTATTAAGTGCACTTCTGATCCCTCCATGCATGTGTGGACCCCGTCTCATGCCTTGCTTTTCTCGCTCTGTAGCAGTGTGTCAGCAGCCCCATTGCCATGATTTTTCTAGCTTTCCTCCGGTCTCCCTCCATTTCTTTCAGTTTGGTAGAGGCATGTCATTTCCACACTATAGCATTCACCCTTTTTAAGTGAACAAAAGTAAATTCAGAGTTGTATATGTGTCATCACAATCCAGCATTAGAACATTTCCATCACCCCCCAAAGAATCTTTGTACCCATTAAGCGGTCCCTCCCTGACCTCTCCTCAGCCCCAGGCTACCCTGAGATTCTATCTCAGTGAGTTTGCCTCTTCTGGACAAGCCCCATGATGGAGTCATGCAGCATTTGACCTTCAGTGTCCCCTCCTTTTACTTAGCCTAATATTCTCAAGGTTCATCTATGTCACGCAAAGTGTCCTGATTCATTTCTGACCCACACCGAGTACTGTCTTGTTTTGTGCTATGGACGGACCACATTGGGTCTGCCCTTCGCCAGCAGGTGGGCATTTTCCTTGCTCCCTTATGCCACCTCAAACTAACTGCTCCCACAGTAATTGCTTGGCCCAGGGGGACGCAGGAGGTAGCCCCAGCTCTGAGAGTCACTGAGCTCTGTGGCTTAGGGATGGGAGGGCATTTAAGGCTTTGGAATATAAACTCCATGTTTATCTGTGTGTCCTAGGAGTGTTAGAAAAATCTAATAAGCCAAATATTTGAAAAATGTGTTTCGTATTGCTCCTCTCTGACCTCAGAAAGTAACTCTTCACTTCTTGTCATATGGAGAAAGATCATCTGCAGCTTTATTAATCCGACAGTGGAATGCACAGAAGTTTCTGTGTGTTCTCCATGTAGTTCCCAGAAGCTAATGTAGGGGGGCCATGCCCATCCCACCCTGCTGATGGTGTGGGACATGGAATGTGTTTGGGGAAAAGCCGTGACTTCAGTGGCAGCAGGCTGCACAACGGTGTGCTGGTGGGCTGAAACAGACTTCTCTCTCCCAGTTTGCTTTGTTGTCTTTGGAGAAGGGGAGATGCCACCAGCTGCTCAGACACCTGCTGGGCCTGGCTCTGTTCCCTGTGCCTTATCTGCTTTTCCACGATGCTCTGTGTACCAGCTCTCTGTAGCTGGCAGGGCCCCTCATGCTGCTGATGTGACCAGAGCCATGTTTAAGTAGTGTACCGGCTTGGCAGGAAGCGTTAAATAGGTTCTGCTGTGGTCCCTCCAGACCTCTGAAGGTGGTGACACTTGCCTGCCCACGTGTGTGCATCAGGCCACCGGGGCCAGAGAACACAAGTCAGAGGGATGGCTGGAGTTGGGTAGTTCTAGACACTTCCTTGGGGAGTAGGCACGCCGAGTGTTGTCAGGATTTCAGTAAGTGGGGTTGGGTGGCTCTGAGTCATTGCTGACCTCCAGGCCTGCTGCAACAGCATAGCACATGCTTGCAGTCAGTAAATGTGTATTTTATTATGGTGCATATACTTGCAGGGAGCCTAGGGGCACTCAGATCCCACAGAGATCAGCATTCTGACTAAGGAAGGCGCTGCAGTCATCTGCATAGGGGTCTAGGTAGGGAGGAACACACAGCGGCCTCACGGCACAGCCCTGCTTTCCTCTGCAGCCTCTCGGTTCTTCAAGATGGAAGTGGGGGCATTTAGCTCGCTGTGTCGTCCAAACTGGCTGCCAGTACCTGGGCTCTGGTGATGCCCTGCCTCAGCTTCCGCAGTCGTTGACTGTGGGTGTGCACCACCCTGAAGATTTCCTCTCTGAACTTTCACAGCAAGTCAGGGCAAGCCCAAGTGACCAGAGAGTTAAAACAAAGAAAAATTCTTATGATAACTACAGGCTCCTTCCTTCCCACCATGCCCCTGTTGAGTTGGGGACACGTTTGCATTGATAGCTCAAGAGGGCCAGCAAGGTTCTCTGGAAGCAGCCCCACCTGGTCCCCTGTTGTGTGGTAGAAGCAACCCACTGCCGTGCAACTTTTAGTCTGACCAGGGAAGAAACCAGAAACCCAACAAGAAAGAGAGCTGGGTGTGCGGGCAGAGGGCCTCGTCTTTTTCTGGACTGAAATTTCACCGGGTCCCACCTGATGCTGCGATGCACATTACCAAGCCATACCAGGTTACAGCTAGTATTAATTACTTATACACTTCTTCATCAGGCGACCACACTGCAACAGCTGATGCATGTGTCCCTAAGCAAAGCTGAGCAGGTGTTTCCATAGGGATGAGGCAGCGTGGGGGAGACCTGCAGTTTTCCACTGGTCCCCTTCTGAGGTTTGGGTGTTGTCTACCCCAGGGATTAGTCACCTTGCTGCTACCCACTTTTCCTTGCCGGCCTGGAGTGTGGCCAGAAAGTCGGTTGGTCTGGCTT